TATCGTTAGTTTTTTAACTAATAAATATTATTATTCATGTTTTAAATATTTAATACATACTTTCGTTTTTGAAATTTTTCATTTTTTTTTCTTCGTCAGTTCGGGAATATCAACCTTATTTTCCTCAGCATTACTTTTCGAGTCATCAGACCGTTGCCAAATAATTTTGAGGTAACTTCATCAAAATTGTCATTAGTAGTATTCAAGCAACTTTCGTCGCGGATATCACTATCGTTGAATATTTTTGTCTGAAATCTTTTCTACGATAAATTCAATTAATCGTCAGCATTTTCATCCCTCTCCTCAGATCTTTCAAACATTGCTTAATCAGCATTCGAACCTGTACTTGAACCTTCTGATGACATTGTAAAAAATTTCTTGATCGCTTCTTATATGTTTAGAACGAGTTTTAGAGTTTTTATTTGTTTTTTTTTCTTTTCTGAATTTTTTTCTGAATTATTACATCGTTGTCTCTCAGTCGAATATCTGCTACTGTGTGCTAAAAAGATTATTAACAACATAAATGATAAATATTTACAACTTTTAATTATTTTTCTTCGATTTCATTACATCAAAATTAATTTTGGTAATAGATATTACATAATTACGAGAATATTAGTCCTTGAGAGAATACCTTGTTGAGTCTTTTTTTTTTCTGTGAAATACCAAAATCATTGTCCAATAAAGATTGTCACCTTCGTTCCGATACTGTTTTCTAGTAAACCTATTCCGAATGAATGCTTTCTTCAGAAGACATATTATTCGCACCTATATCTAACAAAGAATCTTTGCTACAACGGGTTATTCACTCTATACTAGAGGGTACCAATGATTTCTGATTTCAAACTGATTTCGAAAAATTTCATGCCTTGATTCGAGTACTCACTAATCAGAATAAATTTCTGTCAGGTCAAGAGTTCGATTCAAAAATGATAAATAAATATTTCAAATGATTTCTGAAATCGATTTCAATTCGGTCATTTTAGAAGACCCTGCGAACATTGAACCTATAATAAAATAATAAAAAATTACACAATCCAAGTACTCTGTACTCTGTAAATTGGAAAATCCATGACTTTTAGGCCAATAGCTTACTCCGAAATTAATATGGCAAGCCTCTGAGCCTATAATTTTTTCAGCTACTTCGAACATTATAGATACAAATGTATGATGTTGGTCCAGGTGATAAGGTCTCAGCCTATAGATTTTGCGGGTTGAAATCTCTGCAACGTAATTTTTTTTTAATTGATAATTATTCGCAAGTAAATGCAAAAGTGGCATGTGTGGTGGATGAATTCAGAATCTCTGTAAGTAACACGAAAACAAAAGATATAAATATATAAAATTCATAGGAAAACATAACCGATATCATCTTAGTCAGCTCCGAAATACCTACATTATTTTTATTTATAAAAAAGATTAACAAGAAAATGTCAAAAGATGGATAAAAAAAGATGTTGCGTAAAAGCTTGTTCCACTGCCACAGGATTTGGTGTACTTATGCACCATTTTTCAAAAGAAGAGGAAATTTTAATAAAGCGGATAGAAAAATGGGGTGATATTGTTGTTCGTAAGCAAACGCAAATTTGTGGATTTCATTTTCAACAATATATGATTATATAAATTTGAATAAGTATTTTGCGCACGTAAAATAATTCTATATAATCTTAGATAAACTATTAAAATTGTATTTTATTATTACTTCACGTACAAATAAAAGAAGATTAAAAAATAATACTATTGTTACAAAGTTGAGTATAGAAAACTTTCATCTGAAATTCTCTTCAGTTTATTAATGAATACAAAATGCATAGATTTTACAATGCCACAGCTTCATCGCAGGAAATCAAGCGAACAAATAATGTCATTCAATTTGCAATTACGTTCATATTTTTTATCGTAGTAAGGCTTAAGCATTAAATAGCTATTGTGACAAATAAGAGGATATATCTCAAATGATTTCCGCACATTTCCGCTGAAAAATTGTATGATTATCGCCATGTGTATGCTCGAAGATAGATACATATAACCGTACTAATCAATAGAACAAACAATGTCTTATATCAATCAAGAGCTCTTTATTGCACAAAAGGTTTCGACATAGCATATGACTCACTGAAAAAGAAACTACGTAACGAATTCGGGTAGTCAATTAAAAAAAGAAGCATTAAGCACCAAACATCACAACTACATCACATACATTATTAGTTACAAAGCTACAACGGATGAATCGACTATATAATATATCTCTTTTAATCATATAGAGCAGCTCGTAAATCAGCCGATAACAGAATTATAAAGTGGTCAGGCAAAAGCAGCGTTTTCTCTGTTAGCGTGTTTACCAACCAATTAAGAAATGCGCTTTTACAGTCGTGCAAAAGATGTCTACGTAGAACGGCCTTGCGACTTGGTGGAATAATGAGCCTACGTGCATTGATCTCTACGCGCCTCGGAAGTCGCAGCTTTCGCACGTGCAGTGACACATAGTTCACGTGCCTTGCTTTTGCTCTCATTTGGAATGGCCACGAGTTTTTTTAGGATTGTCACATAAACACATACTACTACTACTAGTTTCACATGATATTATTTTTGGTTGGTCTGGTTTTCTTTCTATTTTTCAGAGCATTTTCTTCCGCCAATCGTACCGGTTTTGACGATAAGTACTATAACGTAGTTTTCTAGTTTTGGGTAGAAAGCACGCTACAATTGTTTCCGTATTTTTATGACCGTCGCAATTCTCTGCGTAATTACTTTTCTCCAATGATTATTAGTGACATTAGACAAGTATTTGTTAAACATACATAGTATAAGAAACAAATTATTTTCTTTTCTACAGTATAAGTCGCATAAAGCTGATATTTCCAGTATGATGGAGGATTAAGCAGCATTTATTGCAGTGCTCAGAAGCATTGAAAGAAAATTACAAGCGATCCGTGAAAGTAAATAATCTCACTGAATTACAAGAATTATTAATGCCGAGGCGAAACTATAACAGTAAATTATCTAAGTAAGTCGGCTTTAAACGTTTAAAGGCCATGTAAATGCGATAAAACGCTGATTTTTGCTCTCCTTTTCGAGTACTTGTAATGTGATATCGAACGATAGAAATATCTGTAGCTATTCGAGATTTAAGAGCGTTGAAATTTCATCAATAATATTTATAATATGTTGATATTGCTCACTGCACTGGAATACTAAGGTGAAATCATTTTGGAGATGAAAAAAAAAAATAATCGAGTGAGAAGCTGAAATTGGAAAGCAGTAGCGACGATGATGAGATATACTAAAACCTGTATAGCGTGCATGCGAGCTAATACTTGATTCTCTCTTTAGTGACCTATCGTTTCGCACACGTCGAACTTGTTTTTTTTTCGACGAATCGAACCGTTTCAATTACTCTCATGTTGCTCGTATACATTATCATTTAGCTTAATTGATCCGCAACTTGCAGTTATATATAGTTATAGTAGTTTTTATCACGGAGACATTGACCTTGCATTTCAATAACACAATTTACACGATTTATTCACATATATGCTAACATTGACATCATTATCTGTTCAGTAATTTTCACAATATACGTTATATTATATGCACTGATTTTATAAAGGTTTATAGAGCAAAAATTGTTGGATATATTTGTTTACAATTTTAGCAGCTGCTAATTATGATTAATGATACCTCGATTACTCAGTCCTTCCGACTTTTTAATTTGACATTCATTTAGAAAGTCAGGACTCGAAATACAAAGCTACGCGAAGAAGTGTCAAGTTTACTTTGGAAAGCTTCAAAGTACGAGTAGCAATTTAAAGTAGAAAAATGATCCATATGTTTATTTTCATTCTGCATCATTTTCCTCTCATTATTAGTAAATCGAAATTGGCCATGCTATTTGACGTGTAGCGTTTTCCAGTCCCATAACAAATAATACTCGTTACTTGCACGCATTAATTAACGAGGCCGTACTTTCTCATGAAATATTTAAATAAGATATCATTCAATAGCACATGACCGCGCTTGAATTGAATTTGCGTTCAATTTTCTTTTCCGGTTAAACAATTGCAGAAATAATGTAAGTATCAAAGAATTTTAATCTTATTTTATCTTCATTGCCACGTTTCTTTTTTATCGCCTTCTTTTAGCTGTTTATCTTTGATCTACAGAGTTATAGTCGAGATATCAAAGGTTACGCAAAAATGTAAATTTGAAATTTTTGCATTTCTATTGGTTAATTACAATGTCCCTTTCTCATGAAACAAAATTTACTAAAATTGAGTCGAAGGGTGAGAAATCAAAAACTATTTTAAACAGAAAGATGAAACAAATTATAGAAGAGTGTTTCAATGCCACGTCCTTTTTTCAATAAACATTGATAGAAATATTAAATAAATAAGTTGGTGTATGTTACATATCAATTGAAATCTATTCTTTTAGCTTTTGTTTATAACTAACTTTAGTTGAATTATTAATTTAATCGGTTTTTCTTTTTGACGAGAGTTCAGTTGACAACCTATATCAAAAGAAAGGTTAAAATAAAAAAGACTAAAATAAACTATAATTTTTTTATCCGAATAGCTGCATATATGCACCAGTTTCGCTTTTACTTAAGTTTCATATAAAAGAAATTATTATAAATTTCATATAAAAAAACTTTACAGTGTTTTTCATGATCTAACACGAATTGGGCGTTTGCCTGCCGAATTTCCTCTATGTCCTCGCTTGTGTCTTGGCGAATGACATAGAAAGTAACTTTTTAATTCTACGAATATAAGCCGAAAAAGAGGAAAAGTGAAAGAGAATAAAACTAAAACTACATGTGCGATAAGAGCGGAAATAGAAGGTAAAATAAAAATGAGAGATCTTAGCAGCTCTAATTGCGAGAGTGTAAAAGCTAGTTCATTGGCTTGGCATTTTTGTCGAGGGACCAGAGTACTTGACTAGTTGAATCGAAGCGCACTATGCTTTAGTCTGCCGTCTCTCGTGGAGGAGGTAGTAAATACAGGTAGTGGGATTTTCAAGAGTGCAAGTGGTCGGATTACTGACGGCTGTATACGCAGGAGTGTGCAAGTATCATGTTCCAGTTTACTGTTTTATTCAGCATGCCGATGGGAGTAAAATTAAATCGACGGGGGCCGCACTTTAAAAGACACTGTATCACAGGCTCATGAGCCAGTTGATTCGTGTTCTTATCTCACCTGTAAACCATCGTTTTAGGAGTGAACTTTTTTATTTTTTACTTGATTTGCTTCTATCATTCATTTTATTTATTTTTTCTGGTGTGCGTTTAGTGGATTCTTTTTCCGCGGCGAAAATGAGGATCTTGTGCCTCATTATGGTGAGTGTTATGTGAGGTGAATGATTTACGGTTCATTGTCGATACAGACATTCTTCATTCATAACCATGCTTGTTCGATTGAGTGATATTATACATGAAGTTATTATGATTTGCCTGATTATAAAGGACTGTTACGGTAACTAGATTGGCATTAGGGACGAATTATTCAGTATTTTGTCTAATCAACTTGATCTGTTATGAATAATTATAATCCCTTTTTTAAAAAAACCGTAACCGGTAAAATTGGAAAGTTCGTTTAATCATTTATCGTAAAAAATAGGCTTGCAAAAGAGATGATTAACGTTGACGCCAAACTGGAATATCAATCTTTCACTTGGTATTAATATCAGATCCGGGTTTCAAGACGCAACTTGGCAGCAAAACTGGGACATGAATATATATAGTTTTATTGCAAATAGAATATATTTATTCGGATCTTTTCTCGCAGGTTGGAGCGTTTCTCCTTTCCATTGCCATTGCGGAAAATAGTGATTCTCAAAGGTACTGTACTATCCTTAGCACTGTTTTTTGTTTCATTATCAACACTTAGCAGATTTTGAATTATTGTCTTCACTCTGAAAGAACGAAATATTTCAAAATTAAATACCATGATACAACTGAACAATAAGCAATTATTGTTATTATTTCTATTAAATGCTAATCGATTATTGGCATTTATTTGTAAACACTACAAAATACTAAAATAAATGTAAACATACGTTCATCCAGTAGCTTAGTTATTTAAATAAGTACACGTCATAATAGTTTTCGTGAATAGTTTTTATTATTCTCATATAGAATTATTCTAAAATTAATGACAAATTTTTGTAGAGACCTTCAAATATTGCTGTTTTATTAGAAGAATTCTGTAAATCATTTACGTGGTAAAATTACCCTATATTCATCTTATGAGTCAAGTGCTTTATTTATGAAGTGTTTACTTCGTGATCATTATTATTTTTTGTAGATAAATCTATACGTGATTTATGTTACAATTAGTCTAATTGGACTTTCTCTCGACTTATCGAAAGTATTGAATGTTATTTTTTGGTGGATTTATTTATTTAATCCTAATTCATCTTGTCTCGTATTGTTCACTATTATGAACTTTTTAAAAAACTGAAATGATCTTTCTTTTCAGCATTCTAATTTCTTATTTAAAATTTTATTAATCATAAATGTGAAAGTAATAAGATTTTTCCACACATTGCTGACAGAGTGAATGGTAAACCACATGCTTCGACGGCCGCCTACCGCAGCCCGTCACAATTGAGAAACGTCCCGTGGTCTTTACGTCGAGTCAGTGAGAATAGTCCAGTCTTCACTCCATCAAACAATATGATCATATCGGATAATATAGCATCTCCCGCAATATCTGTGTCACAATACATTCATCGAGAGCAAAAAACTACGATGCCAGTGGAGGATTCTATGATTTTGGAGCCGATGCATAAACATTCTTCACGTTCTAGTTGGATGGATTGGATGCCAGATTTTTTTGATGATGATCCACCTCCAGAACCAGGTCCTTTAATTGGACCGATCGATTTTCCGGGTCTAAGTCGTAATTTATATATTAGACAAAATGAGCCATTAGACGATGATACGAATCACGTTGTGATCCACGTAATCAATCGAAAAACGCCATCTTACTTTCCTGCATCTTCTGCGTTGGTAACTCATGAAAATAATCAAAATCCGAGTCAACATGCTGGAAGGTAATTATAAACGAGTTTAATGATGAGAATAAATTGTACGATATTAGTAAGATTAGTAAGACATATTCATTTTGTCTTGTACCTTTAATTATTTTATTTGCTAATTGTTCAAGTGAGATACTTCTCTATGTATAAATTTATAATAGTACTTTTTTAAATTTTAATTCAATGTTTACACATAAATCCAGTTTATCCATCAGTAAAATATGTTGGATAAGATTTTTTAAGATATCCAATCATCAAAAATTAAACATCCTTTGGTCAATCAACAATTATAAGCATTTTATATAGCTGTGTTTCAGTTTTGTTCTTCATTAAACGTAGAAATTATATACTAGTTATTCGTGTACCGTAATGATAGAGGGGCAGTGTCACAAAATAAATACTTTTGCCATAACTACACCGCGCTTTGATTGATTAACCGAACATCATATCTGCAAATATTTATTCTCACTTTTCCGTCATTTGCAGTACTTTTGATACATTACATTGTTGCGAATGATTGAGAAATTCAGGATTAATGTGCTAGTTATAATGAATAATATAATATGTAACCACTGTAATGGCAAATGTAAACATGGTCGTTGAATCATTTGCATTCCTTTAATCATATTAAATACACTGTAAAAATAATTTTTTTTTAATTCATTATTTTTTACTCAATACTTTTTTTTGAGTTAACTTAATCGAGAAACTTACGTGATTTGAGTAACATATTTCTTATTTTGAACAATTTTTAAATCACTCATTTTAAATATGAAGTTTCTTAGTTTGGGTGATATTCATTACGCAGGCAAAGTACCATTTCGAACATCAATATTACTTATCTTAAGAAATATTAGGGCAGTTACTATATATTATATGTTTATGTCCATATGTACGTTACAATAATTGCATCATTTATTAATTTTAATTACTGACTTGGACGGGAGTAATTATTTAGTTGGCAATTATAAAGATTAACTACTGATTTTTAATTTAGGTATATAGTCTAACAGAATTATTGAAAAACGTATCCATGATTATTATTTTTATAGCAATTGCTTTTTTATATTTAAAGTTTCTATACAAATCCAATCAAGTCACCGGAAATTGAATTCCAAACTGCGCCATTCCCGTACAAGTTGGTCGAAGGACATCCTTGGAAGCTTCAGACTCACACTTCAGACGACAAAGAAATCAAAGAGAAAAATTCACAGTATTCGCTCATTGGTATCCCAACAGAAGTAACTAATGACAAATTTCATTTTAGACAATTTTCAACAACTGCAAAACCAGCTGTAAGTCCTCGACCTAGTATTGCTTGGGTAAGGGAGAATTTACAGATAAAAGTATGAAATGAAAGTATGATTTGATAATCACGAGTAGAGTCAGCCTGAATTAACAAATGAAATCTAAATAAAATGAAAAATATTCCTATTTAATTACAAAGTTTTATTAATCCTTTTATCAATTTAACGCTTCAATGATTCTCTTTTCATTACCTTGAGAAAAATAATTTTAGTCTACTTAGTTTAGCTTTCATTTTTATATCTCGTAGGAAAAGATTGATAAATCAATAAAGTATTAAACGATCGATTATCCCTAGAAATTTTATTTTATTTTTATTACAGTCGAATTCAGTTACATAAATAACTCTTCTTTTTTATGAAGGTTATCAAATTGTTTACGATCAATATCATCTCAATTTAATCGTGAAACCATACCTTATAAATAATTTTTTCTGTGTAATAAATTGTTTTATTTCTGATGAATATAGAATCAAAGGTTGGACAGCCAGACTTTTATCATCGAGGACAGAGGCCAACACTACGGTCGAAACATAGAGTCACAAAGTCCCGTGATGTTTCCTACACCAAATAGAACGTCGACAGCTATCAAACAAGAGCAAAAATACGCGTGGCAACGCAAATATGGCTACCAGAACAATACGAAAGTCCCTAGCGATAACGTTCGCATGGCGACAGATAACCTACACGCTAAACTGACTCAAATTCCAATTGCCAATCGTCGACAGGTGAATCGGATCAACAATGCTCCATCTCGTGTTTCTAGAACCAGTGATACCTCGTCTAGGCTTCCGATAAACCAATTCTCGCACTCTGACATGGTTAATGAAACGCAAAGGTCATCAGTTTATATACGAGAACCTGCCCTTCCCGAAGTTAAGAATCTTGATTTAAATTTCGTAACCCGTGAGGTTTCGCCTAGGCAGCCTAGAAACTATTTGCCTCATTTTAACAAGGTTAACGAAACGCCAAGATCACCTGTTTACATACACAAGCCTTCAATCTTGAAAATTAAAGAAGCTTTAGAGGTTATTAATGCATCTATAGTAAATAATACAACTGATGGTTTGACAGGCAAAACAAGTGATAACGTCATGCATAATATCATGACAATGACAGCAAGTCAACAGTGGAAGAATATTACTGCGAACCTTGTTGAAAGTGAGAAGTCACTTATTAAGTCTGTGGAAGCCGAACGAAGAATAGATATTATGACCGACGACGAAAAACAAACCAAAGAGTCAACAATTACAACAACAACTACCACTACTACCACTACTGTCGCGCCGTCTGCCTCGACAACATGTAAAACAGGCAAAATCAAGGCTAATATGGAAGAAGCAGTCGAGAAAATGATGAGCTCTTTCAGTCAGTGGCGATACAAAGTAGTTAGCACAAATTTCTTGAAGGAACTTGACAGCAAGGAAGAAAACAGGAGCAACCAAGACAGATAATTCGTCAAATTAATAATAATTAATTTACCGTTGGTGAAACTGATGAGAATGCGAGAGAGTAAAAACTGAAGTACACGTTCATTGTTATTAATTAATATAACTAAATTATAAGTAACATGTGTCTGAAGAATTCATATTTTATTTTACTTGTATGAGATCTTAAACGTATAATAACTTTTAATTAGTTTAGTTTAATGCTTTTATTGTACAAACGAAACATTTTCATATTGACTTTTGAAATCTGTAAACTATTTTTTTAATTAGTTTAAGGACTGGATCCTTTATGCAACATAATACAGTTTGTATAAGATTCTTGTATTTTATTTAAAGACGATAAGGTTAATATATATGATCTTCCGAATTTCGTATTTCTTTTTTTTTTTACTTTCAAGGTTTACTATAAAATTAAATTTATTATTTTCTAATACTAAAATACACATTACATAAAATATGCGGATTATCTATTAATTTACCTTTAACATTAAAGTAAATTTTCAATGAAGAATGTGAAAAATCATTTTTCGTTGTATGATTACATACAACGAAAATTACACAGGCCTACAAAATTTCAAGTCTGTAACCAGAGATCAGACATAGTGTAACTAAAGAAGTTTGGTATGTTAAATTCGAGTCCGTGTTCGAAATGGCTCATCTTAGTTTTTTTTTGAAAAACCCTAACTTCAAATGCAAAAAAAACACTATTTTTCGTAGTTTTTGAACTGTTCTCTCAACGCGAATTATTATTCTATTGCAAACTTGGAAACGGCATCGAAAAGCTTGAATCTTTTACTTCAAAAAGCACTAGTTAATTTTTTTGAAATCGATTATTACAACTAGAAATATCGTTCATAAAAAAGTAGAAAATTTAGATTTCAGCTATACACATAATATATGAAAAAAAAATTTTCCAAAAATGAAATAACGGACAAAGCTTTTTTTTCAACCTTTGAATCTGAATTTATCATGTGATCTATCAAGATGCGCTTAACAATTGTCAACATTTTTTCCTATTCCTTAATATAGTGTTTTTTGCATTTTTCGATCTGGATATTACTTATTACTTTACAGGTGTTGTTGCGTCATTATAATTTGGTAAATACCTATTATGAATGTAGATTTAATATAATAATGCTTTAATTTAAATAAATACCTTCACAAATTCGTACTGAAGTAATCTTATGACATTTATAGTTGTGTCTTCTTATAATTATAATATTTGGTCCTACAATATATTCTATATATACCGTATGAAATTATCTAATATATTGTCATTGTAATATATACAATAAGTTACTGTACACACCCTGCAAATGCACTAGCGTGATAATGAGTGAAAAGCTTCATATACGTACTTTTTATTACCAATTTTGGGAAGACATCAAAGTTATTTTTTATGTCGACTGTCTGTGTATTGTTAATCGTTGTGACTTTATTACTCGCGGGATTTTTAGATATTTTATGCTAATATTCATTTATTTACAATCTTCTTAAAATTTGCAATGAATAAGAGACTTTCTACATAAAAGCTATCGGACATCGAACACCGAAAGTCAGACGTGCACGAAGATGTAAAAATTAATTAATTATTTAACATTAATTCGTAAAATAAAAATAAATGTTACAAATGGTCTTTTCAGACGACGCACAAATCTTTCAATTGTTAATAAGAAACAATCAATTTGATTTTTTAATTTATTATTCGTTCAACATCCTGTCTAATGTCCGATGGCTTTTATGTAGAAAGAGGCTAATTGTAAGTGATTGATGTATCATATTTTAAAATCTCAGAAAACTAAGCTCCTAGAAAACTAATCCTTACAAAAAACTGGGAGCATATAAATTATTTTATTAGGAATGTATTTGTTTGTCTCAAATATTTCATTTGGACCGTTTGTTAATAAATTCAATCAGAATTTTGCAATATTATAAAAGTCGCAAACGATAAAATGCTCAAAAGTTTTGCTGGTCAAAATTTTGAGACGTTGAATAAAATAGTCGCTGACTAGGGCCTTGTGTTGAGTTAGCCACGATGGCGAAACCATTAGAGCTTATCTACTGCCGGGGCGAGTATGTCCATAAGGTTTTCCCTGTATATCGCATTTGCGATAATTAAATCTTGCTTTCCCGACGTTGTTAACTGATGGAACTTCGCTCTAACTAATTTTTTCAAGCTCACAGACTGACTTGACGGTGGTTTAGGTCCATTAGGTTACAAAGAATTTACCAACGGTCTACTCGTCACTTCGTTATCAGATTTATTTATTTTCTATCGTTATCTCTTCTAATTTTATGCTAGCATTACTGGAGGGGTACCGCTATATCCGTTAAATGAAAATATTGCCTCTTTCTTGAATGGAGCAAGAAAAGTTTTCACGCTCCTGAGCCAGAAATCTACGCAGGAAGGAATCCTGCTTAAAAACCTGGAGAAGGGAAACTTTAAAAATCAGATACAGAAATCCGTAATAAACTGCGGGAAACATGGAACTCGTTTAATAATCGAGGGTGAAACATAGGGTAGGTGGAAAGGTGAACCGCGAAGAAGGCTACCCAGTCTATATCTGGTCTGGTAGGGGAGAGACGAAGACATACATGCACAAACACAAACACACACGCGCGCACGCACGTGTGAGCGCAGGAAGGAAACCCCGTTAAAAAAGGAAGGAAAACAACGTTAAAAATCCGGAGAAGCTGTGACTTCGTTAACAAACCACTCCAGAAGGACGCGACAACCGCTGAAGAACTTGGATAGTGAGAGAACATCTAGTGGAATAAGCGCTATTTATGTGGCTGATACTGGGGGACAAGGACCGTTAGAGTATTTATCCGGAAATCCGGACGGAATCGCTGCTTATAACCCCCAAGGAGGCCACAAACACAAGTCCCACAATAATATTGCTAACCAATCGATTTGCAGACTTCCCAATTTGTAAATCCCTCCTATTTTTTGTAAGGTAGAGTTTTGTTTAGTTCGTACGATGGCTATGGCGCAGACTACCCAAATTACACAGTCATCATTTAAGCGTTGGAGAGGCATTTCGGGGCAATGAGCGGAATCGATTGAGATGATGAATAACCGCGTAGGTAAACCATCGCGTAGACTACCCAGTCTACATGGTTTTCCTAAGGGAAGACAGAATCTGAGGAATGGACGGCTTAATAGAAATAATGATCAGGTCAAATACCGGTAAGTAAGGCGGATGAGTGAAATGGGAGGGTGGCATCGCGTAAACAGAGGAAACGGGCGTAAAATTCTTTTCTTTTCGACTACCCCAGGTATTCGACAACACGGCCTGCAGAAGACGGAGAGGACAAAGGCCTTACATAAGTAGGGCTAGAATAAGTCGATGGCTATTTCACATTTCCATAGCGCCAGTCCGGGAATCAGTCCTGGATTAGATAAGAAAGGCTTATCCAGCAGCTGACGCAAATGGCAAGACAGTAATTCGAGAATAGCCGCATAGATAAGTAGGTAGATAATAAACTGTATAAATTTCGTGTCAAATTCTAGCGCCAACTAGTCAAGTCCAACCCAGCGAGTCCAGCCATTGAATATGCCGATACCGATAGAGAGCTTTTTTTCTTTACAGGAATTCTATTTTCCTTTCAGATCTCTCCTCCCTTCTCTCCTCCTCTCTTTCACTTTGGTAAGTTACAAATGGACGTGTCTGAATCTGCTCCGCATCCAACGGCAAGAACTACGCACTCAACATTTTTGCATAAGATTTTATTCTTGCAAATGATCCGATCTCCTGCAGGCTTCAAGTGTTAGAAGTATCACTTGCCAGGCTTCTTTTTTAAAGAGCCAAGGAGTCCGTTTTATATAGTGCTAGCTAAAAGGTTGGGAGAGAAAAGTACGGTAAAGTACTGCTTTTGATGGCAGAGGTTAATAGCCTTGTAACTGCCCAGATTCATTGTTATTGTGGCGCTGCAGGACCAAAAGTACGGCAAATTTGGATTGTCCAATGCAACATAGGCGACTTAAGGTGCATTTTCTGCAAGGGCTCAACTAGAATCCTGAAACTTTGCACGGTGTGCTAGAAATCACGGCACTTGAAATGATCTGGGAATAGAAAAGATGCAACAACTACCCGACTGATACTCAGAGACCATCATCGTTGGCCGGCATCACCCAGAGCAAAACAACAAGAAAGTCTGTGGAAAATGCTGCGAGTGCTATGTAAATTACAATTACAAGAAAAAGCCAGGTGAGCAAGCTGCACAATAACGTCTCCTGTGCGGCAACAAATAGGTGCTTGAGTGCTCTCAATGCTTCTCTGCTACTCGGTCTGCCGGTGTGTAGGCGCAACCTGAAATACGATGCTCTGTTGAGAGGATTGTCGTTGCTCAGGCGCTTGAGCACGAGTCGAGTCGACACTCTCTATTGACACAGCAAAATGCTACGACAACAGAAGTATGTATTGATATCAATCAACACAAAAGTGTCAACTAGCACTTTCTTGGAAAAGCCGGAGCTGCCTAGCGTTAAACACATTGGAATTGTTGTTCCAGAAGTGTGATACCATCGAGAGGCAGACGAGGATGCGAAGACTCTGATGCGGCGGAATCCTGATCCAACGGACCCCTCCGCGGTTTCCCTATTGCCTGAGACTAGGAGGGATGGGGTCAGTGACGATCGATTTCGTCGCTGGAAGACGTGATCCAAGATCAGTCCTCGATTAGCTTACGCAGCTCTTAAGGTAATCCTTTTCTTAGATGAGGGAGATGTGGGAGAGGTGAGGATCTCATGGCCGCGCCGTCGACCTCGAGTGGGGGCGCGAGGAACGGGACCGGCCTTGCTTTCATGTATTGTGAGGATTGGGAGCGGAGACCTACTCCGCAAGGTGATGAACGCAAAACGCAATATACCGGGTACTCATTTGACAACTGGAGATTTGAACAGAGACCTTCTTGGCCTGAAGCTATCTGCTATTGTGCCACAGAGAAAAATCTTCTTGAATCAACTGCTACCCCTAGCTAAATTCAAAACGTTTTAAAACCTGTGCCTATTGCTAAGGAGCTGGGCTTCAGGTACGTATGGTTCAGTGGTGGTCGTTTATTGGTCCGTTGAAAAATCGGTGAGAGGGTGCATACATTTGAATCGGCGACGGACCTCCAGGCTATTAGGTTGGCGTTAAAATCGACAGATGGGCCACGAGGACGGGCAGCGAGGGGTGGTGAGAAACGAAAAGGGGAAAAGTTGGTAGAGGCGGGGGTGAGGCCTACTGAGAAAGTTGCTGAGAGAGGTCCTGGATCGACATGATTCAGACAGGTTAGTAGCACAGGTATTGCGCATCACTGTAGGTTCCTCAGGGCTGGGTTTCTCAACATTAACTTTTTGAGAGCACGTGTTGA